ACAGCTTTATTGTTACTTGGCAATATACGGAATTATATTTGTATAATGTGATAAATATTCTCGTACTTTCTAACGCTCGAAATTCTGGTTATAAGAACATACATTTCTAATTTTCATTGAAGCTATCACATCTATTAAATAAATCAAACATTTCAAAGGAATAGCGTTAAGAACTACTTGTGACGTTTGGCACGAAATAATGCATCATTACCCGACTTAGTAGTAGACAAATGGCGACAATAGTGCAGAAATATATAACATTGGCATGTTTGTATATGGAGTTGCATGGGATAAAAAGTTGAATACATATCGAAAAAAGGAAAGAAAACTGTATCATCTGTTCATCATTAATAGATTATCTATCCTAAAAATTACTGTTAAAATTCAAGTTACAAATTCCGATGTGATCATCTTGACAAAAGTTTGGCAAGCTGGCTGTCATTTTACAATTCCAAACTGAATTTTAAAAAAAATGTAATGTATGTTGGAATAAAAAAAAAGCAATCTCGCGATATTCAAATGTTAAATTTGAAGCGGGTTCCCAAAGGTGTTATGGGTACCGCAATGGATTTTCACGTTGGCGACCCGGATTCGATCCCCCGTGTGTCCGATTTTTAAAATCACTTTTTCAGTTTGATTTTACGTTGTTTTTTCTGAATCGGACGGAAGACCTCTCGTTGCTCGCAACGAGTTTCGTTTCTAGTTATTATTCTTTTTTTTCTTCTTTGTTCTCCGGTACTTTTTTGTCCGCGAGTGTTCTCAGAAACTGTTCACCCAACTGACCTAAAACCTTTTTAGGGTTAATGGGTGTGTAGTGTAGGTGTGCGGAACGAAGGTCATTTTGCGCGCATACGCATGCACGTGCGGGCGCGTGCAACACGTGAATTGACTTATATATTTAAAATAGCTATAACTTTTACATTTTTTAATGAAATGATTTGAAACTCATTATATAAAGATATATTAATAGTGTAGAGAATGTGACACTGTCAAATTAGCACGAACTCACGTGCATGCACGTGTGCTTCGCTCTGATTGGCTGAAACAAAAATCTCAATATCTTTTCTGTTTTTTGACAATTTGCTATGAAATTTTAAACATGGGCATACTTTAGGATGTCCTACAATATGGTATATAGCAATTGTCATGAAATCACGCGCATGCACGTGATTGGCCTGATTGACTAAAAATTTAAATGGCTATAACTCCATTGTTTTTCAACCAAACAGGATGGGATTTAGAACATAGACATATATAATAGACTCCTACAAGATGGTGCAGTCGTCATGCACATGCATGCACGTGTTTGCACGTGTACTTTTCTCTGATTGGCTGAAACAAAAATCTCAATATCTTTTTTGTTTTTTGACGAAATACTTTGAGATTTAAAACAAATGCATGCTTTAGGATATCCTACAATATGATACATAATAATTTTCATCAAATCACGCGCATGCACGTGCGCTGCAATCTGATTGGCTTAAACTTTAAATAGCTATAACTCCCTTGGTTTTCAACCAAACAGGATGGGATTCAGAACATAGATAGACATTATAGACTCCTACAAAAGGGTATGGTCGTCTTGCATATGCATGCACGTGCGTGCACGTGAAATGAGTAAAATTACAAATACACTAGATTAAACATATTTTTGGATTAAATGCTGTAATATTTCGTATATTAAAGTGTATGAATAGTGTAGACAAGATGATATGGTCATTACGCACATGCATTCAAATGCGCATGTGTGCAATGCTGAAATTGAATACTTCTGGGAAAACTTTGTTAAAGTCTAAAATGTATCGCGTTTGTCTTATTTAATGAAGCTTACAGAGAATATGGCACAAAAGGGAGTTGGGGAGCGTTTGGGGAACATCTGTAACGGTTCCCGTTACAATTAGCCCTAGTTATTTTTTTTCTTATTTGTTCTCCGGTACTTTTTTGTCCGCGAGTGTTCTCAGAAACTGTTCACCCAACTGAGCTAAAACCTTTTTAGGGTTAATAGGTGTGTAGTGTAAGTGTGCGGAACGAAGGTCATTTTGCGCGCATACGCCTGCACATGCGTGCGCGTGAAATGAGTGAATTGACTGATATACTTAATATAGCTTTAACTTTTACATTTTTTGATGAAATGCTTTGAAACTCATTACATAAGGATATATTAAAAGTGTTAATAATATGACACTGTCAAATTAGCATGAACTCACGCGCATGCACGTGCGCCTTCCTCTGATTGGCTGAAACAAAAATCTCAATATCTCTTTTTTTTCCGACGAAATGCTTTGAAATTTTTAACATTGTCCTGAATTAGGAATCCTACAATATAATATGGAAAAAATTTCATGAAGTCACGCGCATGCATGTGCGCTGCAATCTGATTGGCTGAAACTTTAAATGGCTATATCTCCTTTATTTTTTGACGAAATGCTTTGAAATTTAAAACATAGTCATGCATTAGGATATCCTGCAATATGATATACTAAAAATTTCAAGAAATCACGCGCATGCACGTGTGCTGCAATCTGATTGGCTGAAATTTTAAATGGCCATATCTCCTTTGATTTTTAACGAAATGCTGTGAAATTTAAAGCATGGTTATGCATTAGGATATTCTACAATATGATTTAGAAAAAAAAATTCTTGAAATCACGTGGATGCACGTGTGCTGCAATCTGATTGGCTGAAACTTGAAATGGCTATAATTCCCTTGGTTTTCAACCAAACAGGATGGGATTTAGAACATAGATATATATAAGGGCCTCCTACAAGAGGGTATGGTCATCATGCACGTGCACGCACGTGCGTGCATTTGGAACGAGTGAAATTGAAAATACACTTGAATGAGTGATTTTTAATACTTTTGGACTAAATGCTTTCATATAAAGTATATATAAATATATAGAAAGTGTAGACAAGATTATATGATCATTATGCACGTGCATTCACATGGGCACGCGTGCAATGTTAATTTGAATATAATTGGTATCCTTTTGGGAAAACGTTGTTAAAGTCAAAAATGCACAGATGTTGTCTTATTTAATAAGGCTTACAGGGAATATGGCACCAAAAGGGAGTCGGGGGAGCGTTTGGGGAACATCTCTAACGGTTCCCGTTACAATTAGCACTAGTTTATTTTAGCGGTCAAAGAGGTTGAATCTTTTTCAGATGCACACTGAGAAGGGTTATGAATATTTTAGCGATTAAAATTTTTAGCAGGCTACTTTTAAAACGTTAAAATAAGCCAAAGTTAGCAACCCTGCTGAAATAACCCACTAAATGGTTATAAATGTAGGACTCTAAAGTGCGATGGAACTCCAAAGTCCGATGGTCACACCAGAGTCCGATGGTCTACACCAAACCGCGATGGTTTCACACGCCAAAAGCCGATGGCGCAGAAAATAATTCACGTTTATGACGTCATACATGTAGTACTACTGCTCAAAAATTGCGATGCAACGCCATGCCAATAAATAAATACAAAATATCATAAATAAAAAGACGAACCCTCGTTTTTGGATGTAGGTACGAAACAAAGACTTATCAGCCGAACAATGAGTATCAACTCTTACCTAAATATCATAGATGGGTGCAGGACTAATCTTAATCAGTCCAGTTGTGTGTGAGGACTAGCCCTAAAATCTCCCGTGTTGGTTTAAAGAAACAAATGAGTGTTCAAAGACAAACCCTTATCATTTGAATGGTGTACAATGACTAGCCCTAATACCTCTGGTGGGTGAAAACAAAAAGCAATATCAGTAAAACTGATGTGAGAGGAATACTGAATAGCGTCATGACGTCGGGCTATAATGACGTCATAAATGTCGATTGTTTCTCTGTACCATCGGACTTTGGCTTTTTAGATCATCGCACTTAAGTGTCGCACGTCTCATAGGAAAGGGGCCATCGTACTTTGGCGTGACCATCGGACTTTGGAGTCCTTAAAGAAAACAAACCATGGGGGTATGGTGCAGACCATCGGGGTTTTGCGAGACGATCGGACTTTGGCGTCACCATCGGATTTTGGAGTCTTACATACATACTGAACACTATTTATTGTATACTATCTTAGCCCCCTTCATATATGTAAAGTTTAGAATGTTGCCTCTTTTAAAACTCTGTCCAGTCGTATTTTTATTCTTTTGATTAAAATTAAATTCACCCAATGAGATTAGGTTGAAAGGAGCAAAAATAAAACGGGGGCGATATTTTTTTTAAAACACAGTGATCTAATTTAAAAAAAAAGAACAGCTGACATTCAATGACGAAAAAATAATTCATTGCTTATCATATACCTGATAAAACTAAATTGTTAAAGGAAATGTGAACAAGTTTAATTACTTTCACAATGACACCAAACAAATTGTGAATTTATAAGAAAATGTGACTAGAGGAAAGCATAATAAATGAACATTATATACATATGATAATACATGTATGTAAATATTGAAATCTTTAATATATGAATTTTTTTTATCCAATATTGATTTACCAAACAACAACTGTTGATATCCTCTTTACTTCTGCTCATACGATAAAAAATAATTGGACGGCAAAAATATAATTATATATACCGAGCACCGATATACATAACACATTTTTGACCATGCATTTTAGCACTAAAAACATTATACATGTACTTTGCAGGCGGGAAAAATGCTTCATAATAGATCTTGATAAAATGTTCCTTTTTTTTCATTTTAAGTACCTCATATTGACAACTGTTTAAGTAGTCTTTGTATTCCACAAAGAATAAATAATAAAACTTCTTTTTTTAGTATTATATCATTACATTGCATAAAACGTGAATAATATTATTTTCTTTTACTATAAAAAAAGCACGGATTAAGAAATAAAAAGATAAAAATATCAAATAATTAAAGAAGAATAAGTAAAGTAAAACTTGTTTGATATTGAAGTTCTAGCAGAAGTAATCTTATGGTATATATAAATAACAACCTGTACATATGAATATATTTTGGTTTATCCATTGGTATGGTAGCATTGATGGTTATTATTTGTACGAAATGAAATTAATTTTTAACAATGATACACGCAATGTACAGTAGTTTGGTCGTATGCTCAAGAGTAGCAGATAGAAGAGATTATATTTACGTCTCAGTGGGTGGTGGCACGAAAAAGATCGCTTTCTGCTCAATGGCCCTGAGTCCGAGTAAAGAACACAATTTTCAGATCTCTACTGACAAGCTGTGATGTCTCCGGATAAGTGGAAAATCGTCGAGAAGAACGTTTTAGAAATAAAGAAAAAAAAACATGATGAAATGCGCATTACTGGTATTACAATTGTATAATTTAAAATGGATTACAAAGTAATTTGTACACAATATCTTGGTCGAATTTCCATCCATGAATACATAATGTAATATCTTCGCCAGTCTCTCTAAATGCCGTTACCTTTGAGACGGGTTGGGTCTGCTGCTAAAGTTATGGAAGATACATGTATTACGACACATTCTTTTATTTTTCTTTTTTTTTATTATTTGTTTAAGAATATTCACAAGTGCAATTAGAGAAATTTATGATAAGGAAAATTGAGACATACATCTAGTTTTGACTATCATTATGAAAATTTGCATGGCTGTAGGTGTCATCAACAGTTCCCTGGTGCTCTTCTCGTCCTGTGAATGTGGAATAATTGGATTCACTTTCAGTTTGCAGATGATTATAGATGTCCTCCTCTACAGGTTTGGTTGGAACTGTACTTCTAAGATGATCATAGTGACTCTCTTCCCCACCAGTGTTTTGTCCCTCTTCATGATTGGGTTTATCTACCAATTCATACGTGTCAATTTCGAAAGAATGTTTATTTTGCCCGCTGTTCATATATGTTTTCTTAGGGCTATAGATTAGGCTTTCCATTCCTGCGTCCTTGGAGCCCGAGATGCTTTCTTCAATAAAACTTTTTTGGATTGAATTTTTATGTGTTGCTAAACTTTCATTCTCTCGTTCGTTTTGCTTTCTCCTACATACATTAATAAAAAATATATCAATATAGAAAAGTATTATCATAAAAAAAAATAATGTACATATAAAACTTAGATGTAACTTCCCCGTCAAAAAGAAAACTCTATTACAAAACATACTGGTAATTTCTCAATATCTTGTCTTAATGCATAAGCATGCAGAGTTATCTGGAATTTAAATCATAAAGTATTCTCATACATGTAAGATTCATTTTATTTCCCGATCATAACAAGTCGCAAACAGCGGATGTGACAGGTCAGCAGGGGACGCTCACTCCTCCATGAACCTGATCCCACCTCTGATGTTTTGGAGATCCGTGTTTGCTATGCTTCTGTTTTGTATTATGGACTTTTGATCATAATACTGTTCGTTATCTCTATATGACTCATTAAAGATTCTTCTTTATACCTGAAGACTGATGACAATGCACACTAAACATACTGAAAGACCTAGGCTCAGTAGAGAGGCACCAATTTGGATCAATTTGGATCAGTGTTGTTGGTCTTTTATCTCCGTTTACCTTGACAACTAAAAGATCATGTTGGTAAAGATTTAAAGGTTTTAATTTCGTATTTCAATTTGTATTGTCACCTCTGATACATATATATTCGTTTTAATATAAAATATGAAAATGGACTTTTGATCAGAATACTGTTCGTTATCTCTATATGTCTCATTAAACATTCTTCTTTATACCTGAAGACTTTGATGACAATGCACACTAAACATACTGAAAGATCTAGGCTCAGTAGAGAGGCACCAATTTGGATAAATGTTGTTGGTCTTTTATCTTCGTCATCCTTGACAACTAAAAGATCATGTTGGTAAAAATTTTAAGGTTTTAATTTCGTATTTCAATTTGTGCTGTCACCTCTGATACATGTATATTCGTTTTAATATAATATATGAAAATATAAAAAAAATATATACTTACATAAAGTTATATGAGGGCATGATCGGTTTTAGACAGTCACCAAAATAAATACATTTTAATGTAACATTAAAGTTTTTAATGAGTTATTTGATGCTGCATTGTAAATGAATACCGGAACTAGGTTCTTATGAAAAGAAACACAACTATGAACAATACAATAAAATTCATTATTACATGCATATCCAAACATATGTATGTTATATTTCTGTTGGTTTGGCCAGTTTTTGCATCTAATTATGTTCATGATCATGTGCTTATCTACATGTAATTCTTGCCACCTCAGAGAGATTCAAAACTTCGTCTTGTTTAACAATTACTATATGTCATAAAATAGATTTAATTTTGACCAAAATGACTGGTGTAATTTTCATTTAAATCAAATATGTTAAATAAGAACTATCTTTACTTCTATAAATACAAAGTGTTCAAAGACCTTTCCTGTCCTTTGTTGAGAAAAAATGGTAGTTAAAGCTTTATAGTTTCAATTCGTCCTAATCTTCTTATATGCATGATGACAGGAAAATCCAATAGATCAAAACATTTTTATTTTGTTATTTATGGTGCTAAAATAAATAAATATTCAACTACATAATAAACATGTGCATTAATGATATACAACATGTTTGTTTAGTCATCATATGAAAGTTATGGCATATATGAAAAAGTTAAAGTAACATTGCTATATCCCTTAGAGCAAGCCTCAGGCCCAAGAACGTTTTGAGTCGAGCGCAAAGCCTGTATTTTACTCAAATCTGAGAGTTTTTTCTCACATCGCTGAGTTGAACTAATAAAGTGTGCCACGAAACTAGTCTTTTTCAACGGAAATTGTAATGATTCTATCTACTAATTTGCAAAATCACAAGAAAAACAAAAAAGATTAAGAGAATAATGGATATGTCAATAAGATATGTCTGCGATGACACACTTTTTGTTTTACAATGATTGATTCATTGATTGATTGATTGTAGTTGTTTAAGGCCTCTCTCGCGAATTTTTCACTCATATGGAGACTACACAAACTTTCCGGTGGAGAGCTGCAAATTTTGTTCTAAATGTGGCGACAAGGGACCTCGTCTTTCATGCGAATGACCGGTCTCACGTCCTTCCGTTTGACTCACAACTGCGACGGAAGGATTGACACGTTACTTTGCAACACTATACATGTAGCAGACGCTCTAACCACTGTTCCACAAGGCGACAGTAGTTTGCAATGAATTTAATTTATGTAATACGTATAACAAGAGTGTTTCAACGGAATTATTAATATAAGATTTTAATCGAGGCCTGAAATATGTACAAATATGCACCTCAAATTCATGCATTGATCTTTGAAAATTCTATACACATGCAAAAAGACTTTGGTATTGCAACTTTTTCTTTTCGATTGAAGCACCGATAATTGTAACTTTATGTTATTGTATAAAGACTTACATTTGCCGATGGTCAATTTTAGAAGTATAATTTTAAATAAGAAATCTTTAAGTCGGGTTGTTCTGTTTAAAATTGTTTTAATTCTTTTTTTTACACATTTTCTTAAATGGATCCTGGATAATTTAAATATCGCTTTATTTATACCTTCTCTGTTCAAGGTAGAATCTACCCTCAAGACGATTGTTGTTAGGCCATGATTTTGAATTGTGACCTCCACACTCATGTTCTTCATTCCTTGTTGGTTTATTAATATAGCTGAGTTTTTCTGTTTTGGGGTCAATGTCTTCTTCAAAGTTGGATATAAAAATATGTTTGCCTTGACTGTTACTCCATCCACTTGTGTTATAGGAATTGTGGATTGTGCAGAAATACGATTCTTAATTCAAAAAAATGCAAACAATCTGTTTATTATATGCTAGGATGTGATAATAAATATTGTACAATTATGGACTCTTTCTGCTGTGAAAATAGTTTGTTATAAGCAAAAATATGAATATTGACCAAGTTGATGAGTTCAATGTCGATATTTCTTGTGCATAACAAATAATATTCACTGTCGAAGGAGTCCATGGTGGTTTAAATTAATTATATAATCGAGATTAGAAATTTATAATAAGAAAGAGGTTGAAGGCTGTATGACGAAACCCATTTCATTTAAGAACATTTTGTCATACATGAGGAAACACGATGTACGATATTTGTGAAACACTATGTCCTCGATTGCAGTACAGTTAAGGCGCGCACTGGAAATATCGCCTAAATTTTGTATTTAAAATTGTAATCGTAATCGGGATGGCGATTATTTTTAGTACATTATTTATACAGGATAATTGTAATTATGATTAATAACTACATATCGTGGACGATTATATTTTATATTTAGACTAGTCACGTGATGCGGCAGTCACGCGATTTTAGCACATTGACTTGAATTATTGATGTTACATATAAATATCACTAGTGCAAGGGCATAACCAAGTTAAATTTTCATGTTTAGTATATAAATATTTTCAACACACATGGTAATTTTTAAAAAGTGCTGCGATTCTGTTAATATACCGTGTTTGTTCTAAATATAAACTACAGAATAAATCTGATGAACAACAAAATATTGTAAATTTACAATACATGTACATAACAATTTCTGTCCAATTGTCAAGTTATACCACTGATTATTTCTTTACCTTCAAACCATCCGTCCTTTTGAAGACATCCCAATCTATGTTAGTCGTTTTTGTTGTATTGTTGCTGTTGTGATCAATATTTCAGTCACATTCGGTTTTAGTGGTTTCTTTATAAAAGTATCGGTATATGTTTTACGTGTCGCGTTCATGACAGGATGCACAGGTAATGTGGTCTAAAGTACAGAGAAAGGAAAAAAAAACAATCATGATTTAAATCATCTTTTTCTTACAATGTGTAGAAATAAAAGCAATTAATTCCCATACCTTTGAACAAAAAACGGGTTCTACTTCCTTTTTGCAGTCAACATTATCACATCCTGTTCCTTCGCAAAGTTGACATGATAAAATATTTTTTCTTTCAGATCGAGATAACCTAATACCTTCTGTGAATAAAGATAATACATTGCAATTATTATTTTTTAATAGAAGTGATGCAGAAAATTTAAATGAACTTTTACACGACAAACCTCGATCAAAACTTGTATAATTTTGCCTCGAGAATTTTATACAGGTGGGATTAGATTTCACTCTCCGTATATCACATATCTTCGGGAACTTGGACACCAACTCCTCTACAAAATCACCCTTTGTATAATTTTTCTTTTCTGACTGAGGCCCTCCTACAAAAAAAAAAAAAAAATAAAACAGAATTTAGTGATAAGGTCCTATGTGATGAATAAACCTTTCTTAGTTAATGTTTTAGAATGAAGTTTTCCAATTTTGGCAAAAAAAAATTGAATGTTGAGGCTTTGAAAAATGTTACTACTGAAAGAATTAGAGTAGAAAAAAATTCTTTTGTTAAAAAATTGTAAATATGATGAATTTGAAACACACTGGTAGGAAAAAGTTGAAAAACTTCAATAATTGTCCTACTCTTACTTATTCTATAAAGAGTGTGCCCCTCATCTTTCTCACTTTCTCCCTCTCTTTCTCCCCCTCTCCATAAATAAACTTTCAAACTAGGTTTTATTACCTCTTTTTTGTTCCCGATGTATTTTCAAAATGTCGTGTATATTTATTTACATATACCTCTGTTTTGTATTAGTGATTAATTGATTGTATATTGTTTTCCGTCCATCTCGAGAATTTTTCACTCATATGGAGACGTCACCGTAAGGGCTTCAAATTTTGTCCTTTACTCGGCACTCAGGGCCATTGAGCAGTAAGAGATCTTTATTGTGCCAATGCCTACCGCTGGCACGGGATCTCGGTTTTTAAGGTCTCATCCGAAGGACCCGCAACTTTCACTTCAAAGTGCCGATCACATAGCAAAGGAACAGTTGCTACCCATTTTATCGACTAGGTCAGTTGCAGCCGATCGAGATACAAGCTCACGACCTCCCGATCACGGAGCAAGTGCTCTACCGATTGAGCTACCGTGAACGTTTTTGTATTTGTGTAATTTGTGGGAAAGTGAATAAATCTTTATAAACAAGAATTGATATGAGTTACCCCATATCCAAAGATACTCGACTTTAAGATTTAATATGATTAACAGTGTTCAATGACTTTTATAAAAAAAAAAAATTAGCCTGCGCTGTCTAGGGCCTAGTGATCGAACTGGTGTAAATTTATTGAGTCCGAAGCATTACTGTCACCCAGTCTCATAGCAGCAAACAGTACACATACCTGTGTCTGCAAGACTAGCTAGCCTTGGTCACACGAGCGATAGAGTTGTCAAACGCATATAGCGACCTCGGAAAAACATGTTTTGTTTTGCCGAGAAGTTACGATGGCAGAAAAATTTTTTTTTTCTTACTTAGAATAGATGACATGAATACGAAATCTGATAAATAAAAATTTTACAATCCCTGCTGAACTGCTCAGTATATTTTGGTCTAACATTTGCATCTGCAACAAAGTGTGTTTAAAATGGGTTAGGAAAATAAGGACTGGGCTGGGAAATTCTTTAGAATCAACAAAACTTTTTTTTATTACTGAAATATACTAATGTATTCGTCACTGAACTTACTTATATAATTCAAGTTCTATATGAAATATTATGCTGAAAATCTACACGAACCCGGTTTTCAGTTTAGAAATCTCCGACCCTGTTCGGGTTTTGCTACACATTTTATAACTACACAACCTACACTTTACACAGTCTACACACGAGCAGAATCCGGCAAAAGATTGAAAATTCCGTCATTTGATAATACACACACAAACACAGAATGATCATAATTTTTTGTTAAGAGGAAACTATTTGATAATTAACAATTCATCGGTGAAAAAATATCAATCGAAGAATGACCTAGATATTCTTTGTTATCAAACATGTTACAAAAAAGGTGAGAAGGGAGCGAGCAAAGGAATATTACAATTTTTATTTGCATTTCGGAGGGAAAGTGAACTTTGGGGGAAAAATTACGTTAATTTTGGTTTCTTTTACGTATGCCATACACAGCATTATTCTTATCATGAACAATAATGTTGTATCTACTTGTCATGATGGAACTATTTTCGTCGGAACAATTTGTGTGAGTCGCCACTGACTACAGTTATATATCTTGAACTGATAGTAAACACTGATCGAATATATTAAAAAAAAGAATAAATAAATTGAAAGTTTTGTAGTTGGATAACGTGCATTGTCCGTGAGATTTATAGCAATATAGGTATTCATTTACTATATTTATCAAGATTATATAGGTGTTGCCTTCAAGTAACCGAAAAAATGCAATATATGAACAGAGGTTTTATATTAAATCATACCGGAAAGAAAAACGCGTTTATAATTATTGCTATAAAAACTTTTAAGTACTGGTACACACTGTAAGGCTGACATTATATGCCATGAAAATGAAGTTCGAGAGGTACCGCGTGCATATTCTTGATACAAGTTTAACGAGACTTAAAAATTTGACTTCTTTACCTCAAAAATGTTTTATGCTACAAAAATGTGTTTGCAATTCTATTCAAGGCCTCGACATTTTACCAATTCCCTGGCGTAGATTTTACAAGCACTGATTTTAGTGAAGATTGAGAAGGGAAACCTCTTACCTGTTTTCATTGTTTTCGACCGATCATGATCAAATATGTTTGCTTATTATAATACATTGTGTTTCTTTTACCCTTCTGTATGTTATTTTAAGCAAAGTTTTTGCCCTTAGAAAAAAGTTGTTCCTTAATATAAGTAAATATTGTTATTACCTAATCCATATAATTTTGTTGTTTTATTATAAATTAAATATTTTCATCTATTCTGTATGTGTTTTCAGTTTTTCTTATCTTTTCAAACCGATTTATTGACCGGTCAATAGACAGCGCGTTCTATTGACCGGTCGATAGACTGCGAGTTCTATTGACCAGTAATGTATTTCCGAAAAAAAAAAACGATCCGGGTGTTGAATTTAGTTGTTTGTAACAATGCACAGACGTGGTAAACAATCATCTTATTTGATCTTTCGACATTGGTTTTAAAAATTGTATGATTTCAATGGTCGGGTATTTTATTTAATAAGAGTTACTTAAATTAATACACTGTGGGACGTTGAGACTTATCCTTCGGTGAGACCTATAAACCGAGGTCCAGTGTAGCAGTAGGTGCTCTGCTGGCACGAAAAAGGTCCCTCTCCACCGGGAAATGTTGGCGTCTCCATAAGAGTGAAAAATTTTCGAGAGGAATGTAAACAATATCTATACAATCAATCTTTAATTAATATTACAGATGCACCATATCTAGGTATTAATTAACAATATGGTACGGCGTACCCTCTGTACTAAATATACAATTGTGAACACTTAGTACGGAAAATAAGATTAGGTAATAAAACAATTATTTAATGCCTGAGCAGTCAATAGACCAGAAAATTTTTCCCTCGGTGCAGGGAACAGCTCAATGTGTTCTATTGCCCTCGGTCGCTGGCCTCGGGCAATAGAACACACTGAGCTGTTCCCTGCACCTCGGGAAAAATATTCTGGTCTATTGACTGCTCAGGTATTAAATAATTGTATATTATTAAATATATTCACATTCAGAGTTAAGCAATAAGATGAAATAACTGTTCTCTTTTTTTTTTTTATACAATAACTTGTAAATAAAATTTACATGTTGCAAGTAAATAAAATGTACATGCTCATAAAGCAAGTGAAATAAATAATTTATACGTGCAGTATAAAAATCATACCTTTCTTAATTGATGACAGTATACTTAAAATCAATTTTGGCTATATGCCAAATATCACTATTGGCATAAAATCAATGAATAAGTGCAATAAAGTATACGATAAGAAATTATGCAAACACTGGCCTTGGTTTAAAGTGTTCTCTTTTAAATGACAAGGATTGATCTTTTGTAGAAAAAAAAATACTTGTTGTAGACACAAATAGTACTCACTCGAAAAGAAGACACTTAATTCGTTTTTTCCAGTACAGTCTGAGTCGGACCATGAATCACTCGTTTCCTTGCAGTAAGATTCACAAGGTTTAACTGGACCTGAAGGCTTCTCTTGAGGTTCGTTCAGACAAATACAGGATTCGTTCTAAAAAAAAGTACAGGAAATATAATTAAATAATGACCAGTATTCAAGCTGATTGATTGATTGATTGTATATTGTGATTGTATCTTGAGAAATTTTCACTTATATGGAGACGTCACCTTATGCCGGTGAAGGGCTTCAAATTTAGACCTATCCTCGGCACTCAGGGCCATTGAGCAGTGAGGGTTCTTTATCATGCCAGCGCCTGCCGTGAAACGGGACCTACGTTTTTAAGGTCATATTCGAAAGACCCGTGACTTTCACTTCTAGTGCCGAGCGCTTGGCAAAGGAACAGTCACTACCTCTGTTTACGTCTTAGGTATGACGCGGCGCCGCGAATGAGAATCGAACCCGGGCCTACCGATCACGAAGCGACCGCTCTACCACTTGGCTACCGTGACCTTGGTTTAAAGTGTTCTCTTTTAAATGACAAGAATTGCTCTTTTCTAGAAAAAAATACTTGTTATAGACGCAAATAGTACTCACTCGAAAGAAGACACTTAAGTCGGTTTAATTCTGTTTAAAATTGCCATAAACAATACAACAGAGGAGCAGATCAAACACCGATCTCAAAAACATAAGAGATGGGAAAGTTGTAATGGAGGAGTGAGCATCCTTTGCTGACCGGTCACACCCGCTGTGTGTTACTTGTCATGATAAGGAAATAGCGGAAAATACGTGCACAATTTAGTGTAAATATAATGGCATAACAATATGTACACTGTATGAAAAATGTATGTCAGCATTTAACTCAAGAATAAATTGTATTTGCTTACGAGGTCATTGTATTGACCATACAACTTATATATTGATGATTTTAAACGAGACTGATGATATTCTTGTTTCATCAACTTGTTTGTCAATAATTAACCTCTTGCATACTTCCTATGTGTATTTAATATAACAAGATTTTTTTGTAGTATAAATATTTTTTAAAATTTTGACCTTTACCTTAAAGTAGGACTTATTTTTTAAAAACATTAACCTCGGTCATAACTTTTGAACGGATAAAATTATGTCTATCATATTTAAAAGTGTATTTCTTGTAACAAGACCAGCTTTTGGGTACAAACTTCTTTGGCATTTAGACTTTGACCTTTTGAGATGACGAGCATTGAAGAAAATTCAGCACTCGTCATAAGTTGCCTTACGGGGGTACCAGTGTTTCACAAATACATCTTGTTTTTCTATTTATATTATCAGGACAAAGATCACCGGCAGATATGAACAGTTGAGAGGGCAAACTCACTCCTCTTCGATACCTGGTCCCACTTCTGTTTTCAGAGCTCCATGGTTGCCCTTCTCACTACCTGTGTTATCCAAAGTTATGTTGCAAATTTGATCCAGATTTACTGTTAGGTTATTTGTCTGGACCATCATTTCTAATATTAAATATTAGTACAATATTTATTTTTTTCAAAATAATATCATAGCTTGTTAAGTTTATATATGATATAAGACAATATATTATAATAAAAGGTTCTTGTGTGAAGCAAATTTTTTGTCATTTTATAGTTGTTGTTTTTTTTTTCGTTTACTTTATTTTTGATGCTTTAAAATAAGGGAATTCATACTTTTTGTGTAACGCAACAAAAGAAACATAATGACAACCTTTTTGTATTAGAATACATGTAGACTACTTGAATAAAAATATTTCTAGACTAATGATACACTGTTGCAGGACTACTCTCCTTTCTCCTTTAGAGGATTTCTAAGAATAGTTTATATTCATTATTTTTATACCGGAACCTTATTTACATTGTAAGTAAAATAATTCGGTACACACAGAAAAAAATTGAAAATAATTGTCTATCATACTGTTTTGTTGTTTAGTCATTGTTGGAAATTGTTTGGGGGGGGGGGGGGGTTATGTAATAGTCTTTTTAACACCTAATAGATGATGATTGAATTCAATCTCTTTCTCGTGTCTTTATGGTCTTGGTGAAACAAAAATTATTAAAAATTTTTGCGTGTTTAACGTACAGCCCTTATATATACGTTAAAGAATTATTAATATTATGTTTTATTTTTCTTTATAATAAGTTTTTGTGCTAAATTTACATACACTGTGACTATTATATAATTTATTATATACACGTTTTGGATATTTACCCGACATATACAGAGGCCTATTCATTTCACTAAAATGTTGAGAAGGAGCGGAAAGAGGTAGAGCCACTTTGAGCTTTATTTGGCCCTGAGATTTTTTAAAAATTCAAAACCGCTCAGTTTAGGTTGCAAATGCAGTATTTATCACTTGGACTGTTGGTGACCTCGTATCTATTAATTGTGACGTAATTTCACGTCTAGTCAATGCATTATGACGTCATAAAATGCGTCATTTTCCTCATATCCTGTAAATTCCTTTAAAATTGACCTAAATTTGAAACCTTTTTTCAATATTTCATATAGAGCACAACCTCTGATCCAAAATATGCCAATACATAATGAAAGGCCTATTTCTGAAGATCAAAAACATGTTTTATTTTTTGGATCGTAGGCTGAGCTCATATTTTAATTCTTTGCTGAAGGTAGTCAAATACGCAGGTTTTTTCAAATTTCAAGAACATTGCAATTTCTCAAAGCCTTTTTCAAATATTTGGATTCTCAAAACGAAATTTCTTTATAGAACATGAAAGCACCAAGTGTCTACTTTATTTTGATATATGAAAATGGAAAAAGGGTGAAACTTAATTAATTGATACAAGTACAGGGCCATTTTATGCATAAGATGGCTCTTGCTCTTTGAGGCTGAATGATTAAGATTAAAAATTAGTTGAATAAAAAAGTTAAGCTCCAAAAATGAGTTGTTATAATTATAGAAAGATTTATAGAAAAAATATATAAAGGAGGGTTAATCTAAAACTTCGTGAAATTTTTTTTCTAAAATTTTATCTGGATTTGATGCAAGCAAACAACAGGCATATTCACAAAATAAATTCAAAATGCAACAATATTGGAAAATTTTACCACTTTCCATTTACCAATAAGGTCACACGAGCTTTCTGAATATACATAGTTGTGAAACCCGGCGGAGACTACGACGTTACGCCAAGTTAGATATGTCACGTCACGTTATAGAAGGATAGAGTGCTCTCGGGATTTTAACAAAACTTTTGACCTGACCGAAATGTGACGTTGTCTTACAACTTTAAGATGAACAATAAATCACAAACTAATGAACTAAATATCCAGTAAAATCAGTAAAACTCTCACACAAAGGTTTATAAAAGATCAAGCAATCATAATGTAGACATAATGCTTGTTTTATATAACACAGAAGTTGGTTTTATTATCATTAAACTTATTACGAATTAAAATTGATAATAAACGCTATTAATATCTCCCCCGCATTTCCAAACAACCGTTTCTATGGCAACTGAGAGTCAGTTACAATTATAAATATTTTAATTTTTTTTTATCTAAAATATTCAACAAGTGTCTATATTCTCATTTGTAATTTTCAACCAAATTCACTTTAAAATAAATAAAATATGAAGAAATTCCATGATTCTTCTTTTATCAGCCCTCGTACACATAAAGCAAATAAGATACAAATTGAAATGATTTTGCACACCAGTCTTTATTAAATCTGTTGTGTTTACATGATTTGACCACCAAGTGAAATAATGCACTATGCATTATTTAAATGGTACAGACATACATTTCTACACAGCAAACGACTATCCTTATATTCTGACTTTAATAAAAAAAAACAAACCTTTTTGTACCTATTGTTACACTGTAATGACTGTTAAAAAGAATATATTAAGCATTTTGTTTAAAAGAAGTGAATTTCAAATAATGGAGCTTCGGAAATTATGTTTTATCTTCCCAAAATGTTTGAGTGCATCTAAATTGCGACTGCATGTGCCATTTCCGCTTAGCTATCTTAAAGGAGGAAACAGAAGAATTATTATCTTAGTAAATTCTAAATATGTAGCACATTTAAAATTATTTTCAACAAAGTAAACGTGAACAAGTAGGACAAGTATCAATTGAAAATAGAATTGTTCAGTTTAAAACTAAAACAATTACTCCAATACAAGTGTATGTGGTACATTTTGGACTAAAAATTATTATATATATTATTTGAAGAGGTTTTGAAAGTACTCGTAATTTTGCTACAAATCCAAAGCAATATTCTTACATGTAATTCACGAAAGATTTGATTAAAAATCATGTTGAACCGTAAAATAAGCTCCTTGCACTTTTTAAAATGAAAACGCTATACATGTAGGTCAATGTTAATTTATGTTGAATCCAATCCAAGACATGATGTGAAATAACTTGGAGTCTAAGAATGAAAATGACAATCATTCAAGTGTACATGTATATACTGTTGATTTCTTCAAAGTACATGTAAGCCTTAACAGTGTTTTCATTATAAATCAAAGTTTGGTTTGTTTCATATACCGCATGGACAATAATACGAGAACTTTATACGTACCTGCATCGCGAACAAAAAGGATTCGTTTGGCATCCGTTCCATGCATTTTTCTTGACAAAATCCAGCTGAAGGAATGTGGATAGTAAAGTTATTTTTCCTTTCAAAAACAAAATCCTTATCCAAGAAACAGCCTAAAAATGAAAGATTTTGACATAATTCACATCAGTTTAAATTTGGATAACAAAATGATTGTGGATTTTTTTTATATATATGATTGCTTGTTATGTAAAGTATTTGTTAAACTTGTTTGAATAACATGTTGTGTCATAGACATTATTCTAAAGGACTACTGCACTCCTCTAAATTTTTACAAATCAAAGTTTTAGAAGTATTGAAAATAGAAATAACAAATGGAACATTAAGTTTACCTAGAGTTCCTATCCAGTTAGAACGTCTTTTGTAATATTTTGTCCAATATGGTTGCTTTGAATCTGAAACTGATACTATCGTTTCGTTGATTGCTTGACATCCTTTATGGGCTTCAAACCAGGTAAAACCACAGCCACCAAGAAAAAAAGCTATGTAAATTAAATAACTTATATTTGTATAGGTCTTTGTCACAAAGTTGTTGTTAGTTCATTTTAAGATAAAAAATTTTATTTTCAATTAACATCTGATGTTGCCGAAAGCCTTCTTTTTTGGTGTATTATTTCTTTTTATTTCATTTCTACGTAATATACAGGTAAGAGATATAGAGAAAAACAAACCTGTTAAAATAAACACGGATGCTGTTTCTTTACCCCATAATGTTTGAAGTGGAAACATTATGGGATTTTTGATATTTTAAGCTAGAAATCGACGAGTTTCAGTTTATATCTATAAGAAAAATGTGAATTATATATATGTTTATTTATATGCAATTTATTTGTCATTTTTATACCTTTTTTTTCAAAATTTAATTCATGAAAGTGTAGTTATGATACATATATGACCTTTACTTATCATGTCCTTTGCAGGAGATTAAGATCCTTTCATACAAATGATTGATATTTCTAATTACTGGAAAATAAGAAAATTAAGGAACGTTATTAAATGTTTTTAAACCACAGTGTAGATTTTTGGCGTGCCTTGTATTATATTTATATTCAACTGATTATACACACTTCCCTCGTTTTAGTTTACGCTGAATTATATACCTTATTCACAAAAAATATTTTCAAAGTAAGCAATATACAGCATTATTGTCAAATAATAGCATTTATGTAATCATGTGTTTTATGGTACCAGGTTTTTGTTTTCTTAAAATCAAAACATATCATATGTATGTGTATTTGGCGTCTATCGGGGAATTAGCCAAACCTGTGTACAGTAACCAATCAGAAGCGTGTATTTTCTTGTGTCTCAGATTAGCGCCACTTCACTGATTTAGAGGGAAAACGAAAACACGTTAAATTTTTCTACTTAAGAAATCAAAAAATCACCATGTTTTCCTGTGGAATTGTAAGATTCCTATAGTAGACCATCAGTAAATAGCTTTATCTGGATTCTGGTAGACCTAGACAGTGAAGTAAGTTCTTATTGGTGACTTTTTAACGAATCCAGGATTCGACAGCTCCGTCCAAAAAGCCCACGACACGATGGCGGAAGGTGCGAAGATTCATGTTCGAATCATGGGACATTCATACATTCGCCGGTTAGGTGAATTTATCGCAGCTAATGAAAACTATGCTAATTTACAATTAGATAATACACGATATTTTGTGGACTTTCAAGCTAGAGGGGGGCTAACCTTTCAACGTCTAGCACAGTGCGCGGAATTCACTAATTTCCCCAAACCTCCCCCCGATGTGTGCTTTCTGCAAATGGGCGGCAACGATTTATGCCGGGTACAACCCCACAAAGTGGTGACAGATTTACTCTCATATGCCCAATATTTACGTGACGGCGTGGGAATCAAAAACGTTATAGTGGGTCAATTGTTACGTCGACAGCCATGGGCGACCAGACCAGGGTATAACGAAGACGTCATATACGTTAACAATAAATTGAAGGAAGGAACTGCTACCCTAGAAAACATTTATTATTGGCAACATCGTGGATTTTGGACGGACCTGTATTATCTTGGTCGTGATGGTGTACACATAGAGGGAACATCCAGGCACATGAAAAAATACCTCCACAGCATTCGTATTGCAGTTCTTCACCATTCCAGATAAGCCAGTGTTTTTTAATCATATTAACTATAGATCTGTAACTCTATTACATGTCAGAATTCAGTATGGTCACACGCAGAGTAGTGTACATTAATTTAATCTCACGCAGAGTAGTCTGATTCAGTTTAAGCGTATGCAGAGTATTATGCATTATTTTAGTCACACGCAGAGTAGTGTGCATTAGTTATGTCACACGCAGAGTAGTGTGCATTAGTTGAGTCACACGCAGAGTAGTGTGCATTAGTCGAGTCACACGCAGAGTAGTGTGCATTTGTTGAGTCACACGCAGAGCAGTGTGCATTACTTGAGTCACACGCAGAGTAGTGTGCATCAGTTGAGTCACACGCAGAGTAGTGTGCATTAGTTTTATTCATACAAATGTATTAGTCTCTCTATGAGTAGTATGTTAAGAGATTCATGGCATGTACTTGATGTAGAATACTGTGAAAATTGATTTTATTACTGTACTTGGTAGTCATACAATTAAAGCAATATGCTTTGGTTGTCACAATTGATGTTGCCTATATGTTATATGCATAATGCATATAATATTTTGTGATTTGCAGTAAAGTTTACATAAATTTTGATCTCAAACATCTGGGTGCATAAATCTGAGTTGAGTAATTAATAACAGATGCAGTCCAATGGTTCCAAAATTTATGTAGAGATAAAAATATCAAGTTTGATTAGTTATCAATGATATATTGGACTTGACACACACTGAGAATGATGTGTTAAGTCCTGAGAAAAAATAATATCTGTTTGCCTTATTATATATAAGGCACATCTTAGGTTAGCTTAGACATATCATAGTGTATTAAAACAGTGAAGTCATTTTGTAGGAGTCATGCCTAGGAAAAAGACTTCCAAACAGACAGACGGCCAGGGTATGGATGCGCCATCCGCAAAACGTCGGAAGCCAAATCAAGCTTCGGGGGCCACAAAACCAGACCAAGTCCCCATTGACTATCAAAAACTTGCTGCAGAGATCCTACGGCAACAAAGTTTGCACCAACCTCAGTCGACTGGTGAAGAAAAAAACCAGGAACAGACCTCTGCATCAACGGCAATATCACAGGTTAATACAACAGCTTCAATATCATCAAAGCCTGCTACATCAGGGTCACAAGCTTCTACAGCAGGGTCACAAGCGTCTACATCAGCGACACAAGATGCTACCTCAGGGTCACAAGCTGACACAACAGCAACAGTGTCACAACTGGTATCTAGGATATTTGAAGGTGAGCCAGCAGGCACAGCACCCAATAAAAACACAAGTAATTACATATCAATCACTGATGGCATTCCTCTTGGTGCAACCGTACCTAACAAAATTAAGTCAAAAATATGGTCGAATGAATTTATAGATTTGCGTAGTCTCTTGACGCACCAAGAGGAAGACCCAGTGACCTTACTGATCACACCAGGGGTAATAAATTTGCAACATAGTCAAAAGTCTAAAACACCTCTGTCCATCAACCAATGGACAGATGCGTTTCTGGTTTTTACGTGTATCGTTATACAACAGAAACCCACTGAGGCTCCCCACCTGCTTAAGTACATGTCATTCATAAGGGAGCTACAAAAACTTCATGGGGATTCAGCGTGGCGATCATACGATGAGTCTTTCAGGAAGTTAAGGGAGACAGTAGACCTTCCATGGCAAAAGCCAGTGGAGGAACTACGTGGTAAATCATTAGCTGTTTCCACAAAACAATCTAATGGGCAGCCTTTTCGTGGGAAACAGGTGGGGAGAATCGGTGGGGTCAGATTCTGCTTCGCCTATAACCAAGGTAACAAATGTAAGTCAACCCCCTGTCCATTCACCCACATTTGCCAAGCCTGTAGAGGTAATCACCCCAAAATTAAATGTAAATCTACAGAAAAATCTAAACATGATAGGACCTCTCCCAACCCCAGTAAAGGCAAACAAACTAAATGACCATTTAAGGGTATACGATGACCAATTGAGAGATTATTTGGTAAAAGGTTTCAGTTTCGGATTTTCCCTGGGATGTGAAAACACTCCTACAGCATCTTTGTTAAAAAAACCATAAATCAGCTCAAAATCACCCGGAAATCATACAAGATCACATACAAAAGGGCCTTGAGCTCCATCGTATAGCAGGACCTTTCCCAAACCCTCCTTTCGACCCAATTGTGTCATCCCCTTTAGGTGTCATACCAAAATCAGAACCAGGAAAATTTCGTATTATTCATGATCTTTCTTATCCAAAAACAAATTCTGTTAACACCCATATTCCAAAAGAAAATTCAGAAGTTCATTATGACTCAATTGATTGGATTATAAATTTAGTGCAAACTCATGGCCTTCGGTGCCTGATGGCAAAGACCGATATTGAAGATGCATTCCGAATCATTCCAATTTGCCCAGAAGATTATCATTTACTAGGGTTTTCTTGGCAAGGAAAATATTACTTTGACAAATGTCTCCCAATGGGGGCAAGTAGTTCTTGCCAGATATTTGAAAAATTCAGTGTAGCTCTACAGTGGATACTACAGTCAAAATTCGGGGCTGGGGGAATGTCACACATTCTGGATGACGACTCGAAAGCTTTAAAATATAGAAACTTTATCAAAATGCAGAACTATCTTTCTTGGAATAAGAAGTAAGTACAGGTTAACTACTAATATGCAAGAACTTTAAACGGGGTGTTTTTTCAATCCACCAGGTCAGAAGTTAACTGCTAGGGGATTGAAAAAACCAATTATTACAAGTGCACAGGTCAGAAGTAAACTGCAGTGCAACTGAAACTATACACAGGTCAGAAGTAAACTGCTATGTGACTAAAACTATACACAGGTCAGAAGTAAACTGCTGGAGTCTTAAACTATACACAGGTCAGTAGTAAACTGCTGTGCAAACAGGTGTTCATGTAAATACATAGTGATGTTTATATTTGGAAAATGTTTTTTGCCTTGTTATTCACAGATATGTGTACTGCCATGTATTAATCTAGTCCCAAATTTTCCAGCTGTGCCTGCTGGTTCTCATGTTTTGCTATTATAAATAATGTAATGTATGGGTCAAAATGCAATGTTGTGAAAGCTAGTCTCCAAAAATTTACATCTGGATTAATTATCCTTTTTTACAAACAGAGTGAATTGTTTAACTGTTTACATTTTTTTTTCTTGTATGTTAAGATTTACAAAAACTATGTGTCAAAATAGTGTTGATATTTGTCTGCATACCAAAATCATAAGTGCATTTTGTGTGGTCTACCCTTAGATGGCTAGTCCACTTTGGTTGGCGTTTTTGCAAACGTGGTTTGCCTTTTGTGGGCTTCTGTTTTTATTTTTGAACGCCAACTTTTTGCTTGTATTATGTAATGTATATATGTTTTACAATTTTTTCTGTTATTTCGTACATTATTTTGACATGTAACAGGGGAGATCATTATACAACTTTACTTGTTTATGTAAAAGAATATTTGTATAAGGTTTTTTGATCTCCCCATTTATTGTATTCTTTAATACTCATTGTCATTTTCAATAAATGACAATTCACACAAATATGGAGTTGTGATTTTTATCCAGGAAGAAAGTGGAAGGTTATTTAGATCTCAATAATATGTAAACAAGCAGGTATTACATAATACAGCATTATTGTCAAATAATAGCATTTATGTAATCATGTGTTTTATGGTACCAGGTTTTTGTTTTCTTAAAATCAAAACATATCATATGTATGTGTATTTAGCGTCTATCGGGGAATTAGCCAAACCTGTGTACATTAACCAATCAGAAGCGTGTATTTTCTTGTGTCTCAGATTAGCGCCACTTCACTGATTTAGAGGGAAAACAAAAACACGTTAAATTTTTCTACTTAAGAAATCACCCACCCACCTTCCCCAGCTTTCACCATCAGTCAAATATCAAACATTTATGTTTATGGTAAAACATGTTTGATTATTTAATGTTATCTTCTTTTCTTAAAACACAACAGTGGGTTGTGTGGGGGGCTTCTGTTTTTATTTTTGAACGCCAACTTTTTGCTTGTAATGTATATATGTTTTACAATTTTTTCTGTTATTTCGTACATTATTTTGACATGTAACAGGGGAGATCATTATACAACTTTACTTGTTTATGTAAAAGAATATTTGTATAAGGTTTTTTGATCTCCCCATTTATTGTATTCTTTAATACTCATTGTCATTTTCAATAAATGACAATTCACACAAATATGGAGTTGTAATTTTTATCCAGGAAGAAAGTGGAAGGTTATTTAGATCTCAATAATATGTAAACAAGCAGGTATTACATAAAAACATTCAATGAAATTGTTTATAAAACTAATCACTTTGAAGTCATTGTAGAGTGTATAATAAGAATGTTCAAAGACAAAATATCTTCACTAGTAAATGTTGTACTATTTAACACATTCCCTCCCACTTCCTTCTGTGTTACTGGAATTTAATCGTGTTTTTACAAAAAGGGAAATGCTAAAGTGGCACTTTATTTTTTTTCCGTTGATAGACGATGTTGCAATTTGAGGAATATTTTCAATTCTCGATACAAAGTTCGGAATATTTAAAACACATATAAAATTCTCAAATTTCAGAATATTTATAACTCATGCAAATAAAAAAAAAAAGGAAATTCAGGATTTCTTCAAATTTTTTTTTTATAAAAAGAGGCAATTACATGGAAATTTTATCTTAAATAAATTGCTTGTGCTGGTATCTGCATGCATAATACCTAGCATGTCTGTTTCATAGCACATATTTAAACTATATCAAGTTCTGCCACAAACTGAATATTACAAGAGGAGACATATTCTTGTGCTCCATGGAGGATCTCTTGCAAATTGCAAGATACATTTTTTGTATCTCAATGAGATTTATGGTTCTTGGAAGCTTTATAAATTAAACGGTCTCGTAAGAAGTTTACCCACAACGTATTCAAACCTATTACACATTTCAACAAATTAAAGTTCTTTAAGTACATTTTTATAAACCAATATTTATTTGCATGATAACCATGTAAAATTCAGTGTATTTATGTATATAAACTAATTTATTTGATCTAAATGCTATAAGTTTTGTGGTATTTTGATTTATTGATAATGTTGTACATGTATGCATGCATTGGTCTTGGGTTTTTTCCGGGTTATAATTTCTTAGCGCCATCTATTGTCGGCTATTAGCCTTATCCATATCAGAATATGGTTTGGCTCCAAAAAAAGTATTGTTTGAAAGTTTAAGAAGTTTTTACTTGTGTTTTGAGTATTCATTTTGTATAAATAATGCAGGATAGTGTCTTGATTCTCAACAATTCATATATTGTTCGTCTACAGCGGTTCATGAATCGTTTTGAGCATTAACAGGTTAATCTTGGTTTGAATCTAAGGAAGACAGTATATTATAGAGGATATTCGGGTTTTATAATCGACAAAATTTCGGTCAGGGGCCTACGAGAAGTCGATAGATTTAAACCTGCTGTGGTGTGTCTGCAGATAGGTTCGAACGATTCGTATAACGTAGATGTTAAAGTATACGACTTGGAGGAAAAATAGTTTCATTCACCGATAAGCCACGGGGTCGATGAGTGTTCTGCATAGAAAACCACCAAGTAAACCTGGCAGATTTTCAGTAGACGTTGAGTGGTTCAATTCAAGTGTGGATGTGGTTAATAGGCTTTTGAATGTGAGGTTAGTAGGATACTTTGGCTCTGCTTTCAGAATCTGGACTCAGGATTTTGGTCACAGGAAAATAAGGAAATAGTGTACTGTAAATGAAACATACGGGTACCCAAAATTTTACAATAGTGTTAGGGCTTCAGTTGTTTCAGCACTTAAAAGCTTACAAGTAGATGTATAAAACTTGAATACACTGTTGTGGTCAAATAGAGAAGCTTGTGCATTGTTTTATTATGGACTTTATGCCGTTGGTATGTCAAGCAATTTAACTCAATGACCTATGTTTATCTACAGCTACATGTATTAGGGTTTATTGTCGTTTGTTGTTCACCTAAAAAAATGTTACGTTCAGTCGATTACCTTGTTTTTCATTATTTGCTATAGGATTTGATGCATTTAAGAGCTTATAAAAATGGTTTATGAGGGATATGGAGATAAAGAACAGTATACAATATCAAAGTCCATAAAACTATACAAAATTGGAGTAGAGCAAACATGGACATGGTGTTTTAATTTGCAGTAATAAGGATCATCGAACAATTTTCGTCAAACGCCTGATTATTATGTATATATTTTTGACTTGTTATTGGTGTGTGTTTTTATTCAAACTACGAGGGCCGTTCAAAAATAACGCGGTCTCGGGTAATATCTTATTTTACAGACGTCAGATATCAATAAAATTTTACAATAATATATTCCTTAATGTATTTAAATAATTTATGGCTTTATTTGTTATTAATAATAATTTTTACCGAAAATATTCATGTTATAATATTGCAAAACTTGATGTACGGAGCAAGGTGAAAACGTAGAAAAAACAAATTTCAGAATCAAGTTTTTTACTCATTTATTTCCGATAATTCGCGGGAAAAATCTCTTTTTTTTCTGCAGTATCATTTCATTGTTACGTCATGACTTGTTTAAATTTTTGACGTAATATTTGGAGAATTAATAGAAATATTGAAGTTTTTCTGTAAAGTGTTCGGTCCAAAAGCAGCTGCAACAATGGTGTCAAGTGACGTCACGGAGCAGCGGACATTCATAAAATTTTATGTGGCGCTCGGGAAGACGCCAACAGAGACACAAAAGATGCTTGATCAACGGGTATTAAACCAGCAGTATGCCGAACACTTGTCTTCAAATGGCACAAAAGATTTTCAGATGGTAGGACTTCGGTGGAAGACGATCCAGGACGGGGACGAAAGATGATTATAGACGAAAACCTGATATTAAGTGTTAAAAATGTGATTGAAAATGACCGACGTCAAACAGTTCAAGAA